ATCAGATGTTTATGATAATATAATCGTACTAATATTAAATTTCTTGAGATGCAACACTCAGAAGATAAATGCTTTAATATTAAAGAGAGAAGTGTTTTATCCACAGTTTACTTTCAAATGGTTTCTGAAAATATGCATGTATACAGAGAAGGCAAAAACTAAATAGTATGGCAAAAATGTTAATGAACTAGTGGACAGAGACTGGCCATTGCACTATTCTTTCAAATTTTCTTTACAATTAAAATTTTGGAAAACAAAAGGTTGGAAGAATTCATTAGTAATTAGAACTTTAAAACACTGTGATGGCTGATTTCCCTAAAAACAGCACAGGTCAGTTCCAGGGCCCGCACCTTTGTGGTGAAGAGGGCATCAACGTCATTCCAGGCTCGAAGCTTGGCACGAGCAGCCAAGGCTGTCAGCACATACTGTTTGTCTGGGATCTAAAGAGCAAAAACCAGAAAAAAAATCAAGAGGAAGTAGAAATAGATCCATTAAATGTTTTAAATTTTCAGAAAAGTAAAAAGAATATATATTTGCTGGTATAGACTCTGTCCCTTAAAAATCAATCATTTTTCAGAACATCAAGAAGTCTTTATGTTCCAAGTCCCACACTGTTGTCCACTGTGACACTGATGTTTTCTCTCACATCCCACAAACATAACTTTCCACCTTTAGCCCTGGACTCGAACATAGTGTCCAGGATTACCAAGCAATATACTCCCTACAGTACTCGGACACTACTTTTACAAAACAGTCCATGCATCTGAGCATGGTGGGCATGTCTTTAATCCCAGGAGAGTCATGTGGATTTCTGTGAATTCAAGGTCAGCCTGGTCTACATAGCGAGCTCCAGGCCAGGTGAGGCTACAGTTTCTGTCTCAACAAAACCAACAAAGCATTCATACACAGAAAGTAGAAACAAAAAAAAAAAAAAAAAAAAAAAAAAAAAACAAAACCAGTTCATGCGATGCTACCTTAAATGTCTTCTTCAGATTGGTGGGACTGCTGAATGTCCCCTAGGATGGAAGTGGAGAAAGAAACTTTAGTGACATCACCCAATCTCCCATTTTCTTTTCTACCACACACTATCTTATTCTAACCCATATAAACCCAGAAATATACTAGAAAAGCTCCATCAAGTCTAATGGAATACTACCATAGCTTACTTTATCAGGAAGAATAATAGTGAGCATAATTCTTTTTCTACTTTTCTGCTAATCCAAAGAAGAGGAAAACATACTTGTGATGATTAAATCTAAGCTTTAAAAAGAGAAAAATCCAGAGCTACCCAACACACTGCTCCTCCACCACTGCTAAGGGAACCAATACCAGAGACAGGGTGTGCTTGTTGCCAGCCCACCTGAGGCCACACAAACCCTTATAAACCTCTTTGTCCCTCTTAGCTCAGTCTTGCTGAGGGCCTGTAAAGTTTCTGGGTGACTTCTGAGAACTACAGGTCCCCACTAATAATACCTTACAAAACTGGACTTGAACAAAGTTCTTTCATTTTCCGCCTGTACCTCGGACTCTGTGTAGTGATAGAAGCAGGAGTAGAAGAGTGTTGTCACCAGTGGCATGTAGAGGATGGAAGCTTTTCGGGGATGCTTTCGGAAGATCTCAGTCTGTCCTGCTGACTCTAGATGTCGATCATTTGCCTGCGTGGAAGGAGCCAAGAGAAAAAAGTTCATGGGCAGAAGGAAGAAAAAAACTTCTACTACTACAGCTGTTGTGTTTCCCACCTTAGGAATGAAACAAAAAAAGAAAAAAAAAAAACACAAAAATTGCTTTGGATATCCCAGAGAGGGTTAAAATCCACAAAGTGATCATGGGTCTATGCTTAAGAGATTTCAACAGTTCAGCATGGTACTGTACATCTGTAATCAAGCACTTTAGAGGTAGAAGCCGAAGGTCAGGAGTTCAAGGATGGTCTCAGCTACACATGAGTGCCAGGCCAGCCTGGGCTCTATGAGATCCTGTCTCAAAAACAAGAAAATAAGGAAGAAATTACAGAAGTGGGAATGACATGAGAAATTTGAGATAAAAAGGAAATACTAAGGCTGGAGAGATGGCTCACAGGTTAAGAACACTGGCTGTGAAAACCCACCAGCCTCTTTCCTGGACACTAGGGCTGACCTCTCAGCCAGGAACCACCAATGTCCCTGATCCTTTGCATCCAGACCAACCCAGTTCTTTCTCGAGGTCCCCAGGAGCCCTCTGAGCCTGTTCCTGCCCTCACCTCCCTCTGCTTCCCTCTGCTGCACAACCCGCCAGGCTCTCTCCTGGGAGAACTCTGGGCCTGGCCCCGCCCTCATCTCCCTCTGCTTCCCTGGGCTGTACAACCCATCAGCCTCTTTCCTGGGGACTTCCATCAGTGCCCATCGTACCTTGACTCCCCCAGCCTCATTCACCCTCACAGCTCCCCTGCCCTGTCTCTCCTCCTTGCCTGGGTACTGGGCCATTTCTTGTCTTGGCACCCCAGACACCAGGACTGACCTCTCTGCTTGGAGCCACCACTGCTTCCTGATCGTTTGCATCCAGACCAACCCAGTTCCTCCCCGCAGTCCCCAGGAGCCCTTGGGGCCTCTTCCGCCCCCCACTTCCCTTTGCATTCATGGGTGGCACAGCCACCAGCTGCCCAAGACCAGCATCTTTCCTGGGCCCTGCTCCCAGGCCAGTCCAGGCCCCAAATTCCTGAGGACAACATCTTTCCTGGAGGGATCCAGACCTTAGGAGAGAGCCTGAGAACATCTGATCCTCATCTGACTTGGGCCTCTGTGGGAACTCCTGAAGGCAAAAGCAATCTGGCCACTCCAATATAAAATCAAAAGAGAGAACCGGAAGCTTAGACGAACCGGCTTTTCATGCCCAAAAAGTAAAGCACAAAGACACACAAAGTTTACAAAAAGAAGCAGACCTAAACTTGAAGGCTTGAGTCTCACACAAGAGTCAGAAAGTACAAAAGAAATTCACAGAGAAAAAATAATAACATGAAAAACCAAAATAACATATCCCCACCAAATACCAGTAAT